ATCAATATACTATGAAAATATGTAATAAATAAGCCCCGAAAATCAAGATCAAGCCCACTTTGAGTTATTTGTGAAAGAAAGCAGTAACAGTGAAGTGTATATTAGTATATCACCTATTAAAAAAAAACACCAAAATATGCCATAAAAGTGTAATTAAAACCGTCAAAAAGAAATAACCATATATGGTTCCTTGCCCGAAAAAGGGTTAAGCAGACAACCTGACACAGTATTGACCTTTCAAAGGACATGATGTTTTGATGCCTCACTTCACCACGGCAAAAAACATGTGGCCACCACAAACAAGGCATTCATTCATGGTCTCATCAATTTGCGTCAGTATTCAAAAACAGAGCTGTGGACTCCGATTAAAAGTGATCCCTTTATATAATACATGCTTTATTGAACAAAGCGATAATGAAAGCATGATCATGGTCTCAGATTTAATCCATTCATACAAACGCAACACCATGGATTTGGCCAGCAGATGAAGCCATTTTTGACTGTATCAAAACATAAATATTATATATTTATTGATATTTAAATATATTTTAACAGCAGAATGGCAAAAGCAGTAATGATTATGAATGTGTCGGAACAACCAGCAAGGGGACTGAACATTTATTTAATTCATTTCAACACGGGTTACCTCTTCAAAACACGGAATAAATAACTTCCAACTTCACAAAAACAAATACTTGCGGACTTTTCAATACGATGGATGATGTATTATGTTATTTACAAATCAACCTAGCTTCAAACTCGCTCCTCTCTCTCCATGCCTCCCCTGTCCCTTCCTCCCCGGAGTCATAGTCCTGGTTGGACCCGCTCACTGGGAGGCTGCTGAGCCTGGCTCCGTTGCTCACTAGCAGTCCGAAGTTCCCTTGATAGCCTCCCCAGTACTTCAAGCTCGCCATCCGGGTATAGACACATAATAGGACTGTTAACTTGCTAAATAGCAAGAGGTAGTACAGCTCCATAGACTGGTTAGCACATACAGCATTGCTGTGATACAAGAGGAAAGGTCCATAATGCAGCAATCCCCTGATACTTTTGGCCTGGTGATGCAGCTCCCGTTTTACACTGTTAATGTTTTTCTGCGACAATCCGAATAGTGAAAAGTGCATCAGCTTACACTCTTCTTGTCAACTAACAGTTTACCAGGGTGTGTCCATGAGGCCTAACAAACATGTTAACTACATTACCTTCCTCATATTACATTTGCAAAGCTGACTAATAGTTTGATTCATATTTTGGAACCTGCATTATTTACATCCATATTCACTAGCTGGCAGTCTCTTTCTTCCTCACTTCAACTGGGTCATTACCCCCAACTGTCAATCAGTGAAATTAGCATGAAATCCTTGGCAGGAATGTGCATCATGTTGCTTGTTTGCTCCTGCATTTGCATATACACATTGTGCAATTCTCAAAAAATAAAAAATAAAAAAAGGGCAATAAATCACAAAATCACTGCTCCATAGCACTACTAGGGGTCAAAAACAACATTTTAGATGAGAGAGTTTTTGACCACTACTGGTGCTTTGGAGCAAATTTTTTTATTATTTTTTGCTTTACTAGAATGATGAATGTAGATGACATGATACACATTCCTGTCTACTACACAGAGAGGTAATGTGTAATATGTGTAGTGTATGCAAGCTATTTGACATCCCACTGTTACAAGCTGTTCCACTGATCAGCAGTTGGTAGCAGTAAAGTGCAATGAACCTGGAAGACGCGAGGATTGTGAGAATGTGTTTCATGAAAAATACATTCAGCACATTTGTTAGCCCTTAAGTAAGAGTGTAACTATGTTTAAAAGAAACCTGTACAAGGAAGCTTTAATTACTACCAGTGCAATAAATAATGGGAGACACGTGTTGATATAATCTTACCGGTGACTGCTGTTCCTCCTCATGAAGGAAACGCTGGGTTCTCTTGACTACTGAGGGGTCAGAACCCATAAATGGGATGGCATACTGCCCGATCTCCTTGCTGAAAAACATAAAGCCCCTGGAGACACATACACAAACATACACACCAAATTACAAAAACAGAAAGCAAAGCGATCTACACTCACCAAATCTATCTCTGCTTGCAGCATCAGCACAGTAGTATTCAAGTTCATTTCATCCATTGATAGTCTTCTAAATCTGTCTCTCCATCCCTGCCAGGCTCCACGTTGCACTAAAATCTCATTACACTGAATGTAAGTCAGTCTACCAAACAGTAATAGTCTGCAAATCGCAAAACTTGGATGCCAAGCGTACTGTATTTTTATATAGTACCTTACAGTTGACCTGTAGAGTATGTTTCATGGCCTTGAGATTAAACATAACTAGTCAAAATGAAGGCTTTCTTTCCAGAACATCAACATTCTTAAAAAAAAAAAATGCACTACATGTTCATTACATTTATTTATTAATGATTCAATTTGCTTAAATTGGAAAATTAACGTATCATTATTAAATGAATACTCCATCTTTCACTTTGGAATCAAACTATTAAGAAATGTAGGTCAAGTGTAAAGAAGATACATCCGTTTCAGTGGGAAAAACCTCTCTGCTGTGCGCTGAAGAAACACACCTTATCCCTTTCTTGACTAATCGCTGCCAAGCACCACATTCCAATAAAAATGTTATTACTCAAAGTAAAGTGTTTAAGCCAGACAGTAATTGCTCAGTTATAGCCTTACCGCTTTTTGACTTTGGCTCCCACCACAGGCAGCGGCTTGTGGCCAAACTTCTTTCTCAGCTGGCGGAGGGATCCGCTGTCTGCGAAACCATACACAGCAGACTGCCAAGTGGCATCGTGGCCAGACATTCCCTGCAAGGGTAGAGATAAGTTTAAATTCTGTCACAGTGCAGAAAACTAATTCTATCCCAAAGTCCTCTCAATAAACACCAGAGGTTTAATGTAAATAACTAGCTTCTTTTGATTGACAGATTGACCTGACCTTGCTAGGGATTGCTTTACTTCCTCTTAAAAAATGATCACATATGTATGACATATGAAACTACAGTGTAGTGCAACAACAACAGCCATTAGCATGTTTTGGATATATATCGGCATATTTAGATTGAAGGAAAATCTTATGGTTAAATTGGTAAAATAATAACCAGTCTCTAAACAGAATGGTATGGTATAGTGGTAATGGGATGGTAATGGCACTCCACTCACTGAAACTGCTCTATATCTATATTTCCCCTCAATTTCCCTAGAGCTTCTGTTAAATGACCTTTCTTTGTCACAGGGCTATTGATTTATGTGATCAATACTAGTATTTGCTAGGAGTCATTTTTAGGAATTCACTGAATGAAATGAAATGTTCTCAACTGTGAGCCTGCATTGATATTTTCTCATATCAACAATAATACTAATATAATCATTAATAATAAAGTGACAGCTCAATTATATAAACTTACACCAAAAACAGCCATCACTTAACTGTGACTCTTTTTTTAAAAAGGACAAAGTGTATCAGGCTACATTTCCCATCATGCAGTGCAGAAGCTGTAGTTGTTTGTGCTACCTCAGACCCACTGCTGATTTTCAGGAAGCTCTCCACAGCTGTCAGTGTTCCTGAAATCAGACCAAAGCATGCAGCCGAAGATCGAGTTCCAGTTCAAATTCAACAAATGCAGGAGTTCAACTAAAGTTGGCACTTTTAGCTTTTATATAACTGGAAGCAAAACCGTTTGTGGTGATTCAACGGTTCTCTGTCTCCTACCTTTGAACTGCCTCTGTGTATAGAGAATACCCAGGTCTGCCGGTATGGAGTCAAAGCCACAGCTGCCAATCACATACACTCCTCTGTCCAAGGCCTTAGTGTGGTACTCTAGCTGCATACGCTCTAGGAACTGTAGAGAATGAATATCCACACATACACATATAGACAAAGATGCATTTTATTCTCTAGTCAGTTTACTTTTAATAAGCTATAATCAAATACACAGATACAATCACAGTGAATCACGATCCAAACAAGATAGAAATTGATATTTATTTTCCTACCTGAGGTTCGCCACAGATGTCAATGTAGTGAGCTCCTTTTGCAATGCAAGCTTTGACCACCGGCTCGCCATAAAATCTGTACTGAAAGGACAAAGACAGCATACAGAGAATTATTCAACACAACATAAGATTACAGTGCCGGGGGTTTGAATCCAATCTGACTGATGTGTGTCAGATGACATCTCATGGTTTCCTTTGTTAACTCACTCACAAAGTCCGGATAGCACACTTACAGGTCCCACACAGTTGAGAATCACCAGGCCTTGTTGGCACATGACGGCCAGCGATTCCTCAATAGACACATCGGCAACGATGATTTCAATGTCCGTCCTCAGCTCTGGCATAGCTGACGAGAGAGGAAAAGATCATCTTTCACTCATTGTACAGTGGATAACTCTTACACATATCCTTTATATGGTTGGTGCTTTTCAGCTTAAACTGCAAAACCCTCAAATACAATGTATATGAGAGAAATAGAAATATGAAAAGAATTTGAGCCAACTTTATTAAAGGGGTTACTTTATGAACGTTAAATGACCAGATATTAATAACATATTTTTGAATACCATCATATCATCTTTGTGTCAGTGCTGCGGTATTAAGCTGGGAGGGTGATGCTGTGTCCTCAAATGCTGTGCCCCATTATAGTTACAGCATAAATAAGAAATGTCCCTTTATCATTGTAAAATAACTTGCTGGTCAGTCAGACTGGGGTCCAGCTGTGAAGCTAACTAGCTATTTCGGAGCACAACAAGACCTTGTATTTAGGGGTCAAGTTCAACATTGTTCACTTCTAGCTACATAACCACCAACAGACCCCAACAACAACAACTCAGACTGCTGCCTCTGTCAGTCAAGTGAGTAAAGTATCCTGCGGCAGTGACATTTGATCGTGAAGAGCCTGACAGCGAACACTCCTGTCTCAGTTAGCCACAGTACACCCTGTCAAGCACATACACAGCCTCCCCGCGGCTTGTTTCAACACTTCTTCTAGACGCTGTCTGCTTCTCCCGGCCACGGCCCATTTCAGAGAGCTACCGCCGGGACTCTCTGTGGCACATCGGGCGACCTCCTCCACAACAAACTGTCCCGTGAACCCTGTGGCACCGAAAATGATAATATGGTACGGTCTGCTTGAGGTTACAGACGCCATGTTTGCGTTTTAGTACAAGGTCCCGCTGGGTAACGTTAGGCCCGGTTCTGTCCGCTGATTGGCTGAGCAACGGCCACACACACTCTGCCCAGACCGCTGACGGTAACTTGTTCCGGACATAATAAATGGACACCTATGGTGCATCTGTTATCCGCGCTAATTAATCCGCCAGCAGCAACAACGCTTTTCTGTTCAAAAGTCGTCTCTTATTAATGTTTAAGTAATATTAAAGATAACTAGATAACTAGAACTAGATAACTAAGATTTTTTATTCGACTGGTATGTTATTACACGTTTTTTGAGTGACTGTAGTTTAAATATTTAGACTGAAATTAAAAAGTATATTGACTAAGATACACAGCTGGGTCAGAAGTTGCTACATTTTCCACATGATACTTTTAGGAGCTCTCTGTCTCATACAGTGTTCACCATGCACTATGACTGCAGCAGTGTGAGGATGAACTTCACTCAATAAAATGATTCTGTGGTGTACATTGACATCTGGTGGTGAAGTTTAAGTATTACTTGGATAATTCGAGGCCAGTGTGTTACAGTAAAACCCATTTTCATTTAAAGATGAGAAACCAAGCAACAGTTCAAATTAGGATAAGCTTTGAAAAAGAAAACACAATGGCAAGTGATCATTAATCAATATATTTTGTATTCCCTTGTGGACACAACTGAACATAAATACTGAATATACATAAAGATACATATAAAGGTGGATTGCATAATGCAGTATCCACAGTGGCAATACATAAGTATACATTTAAATACAATGCAATGTTAACAGGGGTATTTTCTGTTGTGTTACTGCCAGACAGGAAACACAACTGACCATAAAGCTCTGCTTTTTGACAAAATGATACAAAGGTACACTGGATATTAAACTCCCAACACAGTTAAAAGAAGGGTGTGCATATCACCAGATTTCAACAACTGCAGCCACTGTACATCAGTCCTGAAACACACATTTTAAAGCTACCATCCACATTCTGATAGGAAAGTTTATATTACAGAAATAATTACCAAAGTAATCACTGAGATTGCAGACAGACTGACATACGCTGTATTTTTGTCATGCTGTATTTTGTTCAAGGGTGCAGAAACTCTTGATGCCTGTCTTATAATGCGCATGCCAACTTAGCATTATCATTTCTGACTTTAGGATACAACAAACATACATCTGTGATTTCTCTGCCACTGAAACCTAAAGGCGGGTTACATCTTAAGTATCAGGCCCTTCAGCAGCAAAAGTAACAGAGGTAGCTGTACCTGTCGTACAAGAAACAAGGAGAAAACCATCCCATTACGGCAATCACAAATCAGCAAAGATTATCAGAACTGATGCATTTCTGCAAGTTTAGAAGTTTTTACATCTGTATTTTTTAGCAAAATGTGTCATTCTTGCTTAAAAAAAAGAAAAAAAAAAAAAAGAAAGCTGATCAACTGTTTTATTAGTCGACTAATTGTTTTAGCTGGAAGCTACGGAGCCCATAAAGGGACATGGGGAAAAAAAAAAAAAGAAACGTTTCACGTGCTCACGAGATCCGTTTCCGCGTTGCTCACGAGATCCGTTCCCGTGCTCACCGAGATCCGTTTCCCGTGCTCACGAGATCTTTTCCCGTGCTCACGAGATCCGTTTCTCGTGCTCACGAGATCCGTTTCTCGTGCACGAGAAACGGATCTGCATGCGTGCATGATGTATGGGAGACCATCCACTGCATTTCGGTTTGTGTTTCTGTGTGAAAATGACAGTACAGGAGTTAGTTCGGCTATATTTTAACCTGGGACTTCATTATAAGGACATTGCTGCTTTACTTGCAAGTCGTCACAGTCATGTTGTGTCTGAAAGACATTTAAAACGAATTTTGAAGTCTCGGCGCAACGGATACGTCACTTTGGATCGCGTAGTTAATTTCATTCATGAACAGTTACAAACATCTGGCCAACTCTGTGGGTACAGGTGGATGTACACAAAATGCAAGGAGAATGGATTACACGTAAAGAAAGAAAAGGTACGCTTAATTCTCAAAGAACTTGACCCGAGGGGTGTTGAACTCAGAGGAAGGAGACGGCTCCATCGCCGAAGCTATTTTGCAAAAGGGCCCAATTATATTTGGCACTTTGACTCTTATGACAAATTGAAGCCATTTGGTATCTGTATCAATGGCTGCATTGACGGGTTTTCCCGGAAAATTATCTGGATGAATGCATTTACTACCAGCAGTGACCCAAACATCATCGGAGGCTACTACATGGAGGCAGTCCAGAGATTAGGTGGTTGTCCAAGGATTGTCAGAGGCGACCGGGGCACAGAGAATGTTAAAGTCAGAGACTTTCAGCGTTTTCTCCGTCGCAACATTCACGACCGACGGCTCGCGGCATTGACAGCTACATTGAAGGGGCAAGGCACAGCAAATGCGCGAATAGAGAGTTGGTGGGGGCCTTCCCTCAGAAGGGAATGCATGGAATTCACATCTCTCTGTTTAATGAATATGAAGGACCGTGGCTTGTTTCGAATGGTGGCTATTTTGGAGCCCGAAGTCTAATTGCAGTTCTGCTTCATGGGAATCATTCGTAGGTACAAGTGTATCATATTGTTCGGGGGTGTAAAACCTACTTTCATCTTTAAAGTTGTGTCCCACCAAATGTTTTTTTGTTGCTGTTACATTCTTGAGCAGCTGTCCACCTGTCTTAATCACTGTCATCATGTGGGTGTCCTACAATAATAATTCATAATGAAACGAAATGGCTCTAAAACCAGGGGGTTTTTTTTTGAGCAATGGGGCGCCGCGCACCGGTCTTGGGCCTATCGTGCAGCATTGTGTGCAGCCGCCTGTCAGTGTCAAATCATCACTACTGATAGATGAGAAGAAGGGGGCTGATTAATTGGATTATAACATAAAGTTTTTGTGC